ACGTCGATCTTTGGCTCGTCGTCGTGCGGGTGCAAGGGCAAGAAGAAGCCGTGTCTGTTCGTCCACGGCGTCGGCAACGAGAAGTCGTCCGCGCCGACGTCGACAGCAAAGGACTTGTGGGGTGACATCCAAGACCACGCGCCCTGCTGCTCGAGCGTCAAGTTTGCCCACTACGAAAGCGTTGTCCGTGGCTGGAACGACCCGGGCGTCCAAGAAGAGTTTTGCTCCACGGCGCAGCTAGTGAGCTCGTCCCGTAGCAAGACCGTCGACAACATGATCTTGGTGACCTTCTCGATGGGCAACCTCGTCGCGTCTGGTGCCTTCGCGACCGGCAAGTGTCAACTCGGCAAGAACGTTCAGTGGGTTTCGATCGCCGGCCCGATGCAGGGCAGTCGTGCCAGCAACCTCCTCGAAGAAAAGTGTGGCGGCTCCGGCTGGGGTGCCCCGCTCAAGGGTGTGTTGAACCTTGTCGGTCATTGCCCGCCGACGCCGGCGTACCTGAACCTCAAGACGCAGCAATCTGTGGATCGTTCTTTGCGCGACCAATTTGCCGCTGCCCAAGACGTCCGCCGCCGCGGCGTTACCAAGGTCATGTGTGGTACCAAGTCGTCGGGTCTCGTCTCAACGGACGGTGCCGGCTTGGCGATTGTCGGTTCGATGGCGTTCGGTGACGACGGCACGCTCCACGACGGTGTCGTCGCCATGGGCAGCTGCAGCGTCGGTGTCGACAACTTTTCGACAGACGCCGAGGCTGGCGCCAACTACAAGGCGAGCATCAACCACCTCGATGCATCGTTCCGTCACGGCGATGGTTGGTGGGGCGTCGACCGCAAGCCCGTCAAGTGGTTCGAGTGCGCTTTGTAAACGCGCGATAGTCGACAAGAAGCTTTGTGTGCTAGAGTATTGTAACCGTATATGTACAATTTCATCCCAACATATCGCATAACCTTACTGCATTGGCGTTTATCGGATCGAGCATTATTGATAGTCGAATGATTCAATAGGTTGCCGAGGTTATTTTGTGGTCATTGTAGCATGACATGGCTCGACTGTCATGATAACGATGCTTTCTTCCTCGCCTTGACGTACTACAGTGTCTCGTCTTTAATCTTGCAAGTTTATGGCGCCACCACTGTTTTTGTGGGGCAGGTGGGTGCTTGCGTGGGCACCACATAGCAGGGCCTTGAAGCAGCACCGCAGCGAGGGTCTAATACAGTAGTATGAAAGACACGTAAGCATTGTGCCTCTTCCAAATGATGGCAGCCCTGCGGCACGACGCATGGCTACGCGACAACTTTGTTCCGGCATGTGCCGTTCACACGCCACGTCTCCCGCTCGGCTAAGCCTCTCGGTGGCCGGCTCGTCGTAGCACCTTGGAATCGCTCGTCCACCACCATATGCAGTTCAGTGTAAATTATATCTAAATAGACTCACTTCAACAACGGGATTCCACACGGAGGCATGAAGGTTGGCTGCGCGCATGTACTACTACCACGAGGCGAGCCGTTCCAAAAGTAAATTCCCTCTATACTTATAGCTAAGAGTCAAAGTACCGACTGCTCGTGCAACGCGAGAGAAGACGGACTGGGGTACAAAACGTACATTACGTCCCGGTGATTCCGCGACACGTTGCGCACAGTACGCTGCTACCGGTAGGTGTCATGTAGGTGTTCTCGGGTGAATGACGCTGTATACCTGAGCAGTGGTCACGACGGGACACTAGAGGCATGCGCCATCGTCAGCTTGGCGTTGCTAACCCTACTCCTCGGTATCGCAGCGTTTCATTCAGACATACTATGTGGCATCATGGGCGCGTTATCTACCTACGCCACTTGCTGCCACCGCCCACTTTCCATTTCACCTCCGTCATGAGCAGCACTCCCGCGGTAGAATATGACCATGTAGTCGACACGCCGGCTCCCAAGAAGTTCTGGACCACCAAGGCCATCGTCGGCGCCGTCGTCTTTTGCGGCGTCGTCTGCGCGTCCGTCGGCGCCTACTACGTCTACAACGGCAAGACGCACTCGACCGCCGGCGACATCGTCACCCAGATCCAGCAGTCGCCCGGTCTCCGCGTCCAGATCCATGCCAAGCGCTCCAGCATGGCCTTCAACGGCCAGACGTCGGCGACGGTCTATGTCGTGCCGCGCGCCGGGTCGGGTGCCAACCTCAAGTTTGACGCGTTCTTGTCGCAGCCCGGTCCCGAAGTCACGGCCAACTACATGCTGCTCGACGACCGCGCGTACTGGTCGATCGTCAAGGATAACGCGACCGTAGCCACGGGGTGCTTGAACCCGGACCAAGTGCCGCCCGTCCAACTGGTACAGTGGCCATATTACCAAATATCGGAGACTCATGTGATGCGTAGATGCAATCGAGCCTCGAAGACTCGGTGACGGTCACGAGTGTCTGTTTTCCAGAAGATCGAGTGTCCGTCTGGCAAGCTGCTCGAGCTGCAGTTTGCCGGCGAGAACTTTGTCTTTTGCAACTCGAACACCAACAAGCTCACCAAGGCCGTGGGCACTGACCTCGACATGACGATCGAGTATTTGAGCGACCCGACGTCGATCCCGGACTTTGACGTGCCGCAGATGGCTGGCAAGGCGCCGCTGAGCTGTCCGGTGGTGACGTCTACGCCGGCGACGACGACGACGTCGACGACGACCCGTCGTCTGGAGTCGAGCCACCGTCGGACGTCGATCTTTGGCTCGTCGTCGTGCGGGTGCAAGGGCAAGAAGAAGCCGTGTCTGTTCGTCCACGGCGTCGGCAACGAGAAGTCGTCCGCGCCGACGTCGACGGCAAAGGACTTGTGGGGTGACATCCATGATCATGCCCCCTGCTGCTCGCGTATTTCGTTCATGCACTACGAGAGTGTGAACCGAGGCTGGAACGAGACGAGTGTCCAAGAAGAGTTTTGCGCTGCAGCCCTGCAGATGAGCCCCGCGTGCTCTGAAACGGTCGACAATGTGATCTTGGTGACCTTCTCGATGGGCAACCTCGTCGCGTCTGGTGCCTTCGCGACCGGCAAGTGCCAACTCGGTGACGATGTGACGTGGGTCTCGATCGCGGGTCCGATGCAAGGCAGCCCCGCCGGGAACCTCCTCGAAGACAAGTGCGCGGCTTCCGACTCGGGTTCGGACAGCACGCTCAAGAGCATTTTGAACCTTGTTGGCAAGTGCCCGCCGACACCGGCGTACCTCAACCTTAAGACCCAAGCCTCGGTCGACGCATTGTTGCAAAAACAGTTTGCTGCCGCCCAAGACGTTCGGCACCGAGGCGCGACCAAGACCATGTGCGGTGTCAAGTCGTCGGGTCTAGCGACGACCGACGGTGTCGGCCTTGCGATCCTCGGTTCCATGGCGTTTAAGAATGGTTCGATGCACGATGGCGTCGTCGGGTTCGAGAGTTGTAGCGTTGGCATCGACAGCTTTGCGACGAACGCCGAGGCCGGTGCCAACTACAAGGCGAGCATCAACCACCTCGACGCATCGTTCCGCAACGGCGACGGCTGGTGGGGCGCCGACCGCAAGCCCGTCAAGTGGTTCGAGTGCGCACTCTAAGCGTCGTCTACGTAAACACGATAGAATCTTCAGTGTTGTCTTGCATTTCGCAGCGAGATTCATCCTTGTTGTTGGTTCAACAAGTCCAAAACAGTGAGGCACCATCTGTCTATGCACCTTCTCTACGTTGCCCTCGGGTGGCGCATGACAAAGCGCACTCGAATCCATTGGTCTTCATCGCGCCTAGCATGCAAATGTCCCTAGCCCTAGTATTAGTCCTAGTACTTGTGAGCTCGGCTCCAGCGTCACGCGGCGCACTGTGATTACGTGGCAGATCCCGCCAGACGGGGATGGGTAAAGGGGCGTCCGCAGACGCGAGACGAGTGCCGTCTGCGGCGCCACATGGTTGCTGGTTGTCACCATATGGACAAGCGGCGATGCCATTGACGCTGCAGATGCTTGGTGCAAGCACCATCCAGCTCGGTACGCCGCAGGGCTGGGTTCGCTTTCTTGTACTGTACCGGTATTCCTCCGTCGTCCGACGCGGAGCGAATACGTACACAGATGCAAGCATCTTGAAACGACGACCATGTGCTACTGACAAGGCGCCTCTTACATTGGCCGCGACATTTCAAAGTTGGGTGCGTCTACCGTACCTCGCACACTGTAGATGGACCTAGGATAGAAAAACGCAGCGAGCGGTGCCCACAGTAGCCACGATCGCGGCAGCAATCGTGTCCGTCGCAACCGGTCGCACCCATCGCACACGACCTGATGCTGAGTAGGTCAAGTGGGCCTGTTTTTGCGCATGGCAATTCGGATTCTGTGGCCTCGGAGCACTGGCCATATCTTGTAGGGTCTCTGGCCCAGACCAAGGGTCAACAAGCAATCTAATGACCCCTGATATAATTGATCCAAGATACTCTACGAGTAGTACTCCCGATCGCCCCAGGGAGGCTTTGTGTTGACGTCGACAGTGGTCGTGTCGTGGCTTCAAGCCTGATAATCTGGAAGAGGCATGCGTCGAAGCTACTGTCGAGATTGAAGCGGCGCAGAGTTTGTTCGGCTCAGGTGCGTCCTTTTTCCAGGCACCTTCCGCACGGCGTAGCATCCCACGCCCGCCGGCCTACGTTGCGCTGAAAGTAGCAAAGTAGCCTATCCTAATGAAATGACGTGGCACGTTGCGCCGAAAACGAACATGCAGTGTACCGAAAAGCTACACCTGGTACTAGTACACTCCAACGCGTAGGCGACTGACGGCCGTGAGGCAATTTCTTTCCCAGACATAGATTCTGAGAGGCTCAGCACACCACTTCTCGGAGTTTATAGTTGTTGACAGGTAGTAACAATCATATCTCAATAGACTCACTTCAACAACAACACTCCAACGCGTGGCCGTAGAATCTCCGTGGCCAAGGGATGCGCGATGCACACCAGCTGGCTTTGCGCCACAGGTCATTGAAGCCATGCAGGTCTGATTTCATGCAGCATCAGCTTGAAGCACGTTTGGGACGTGCTCTCATAGAGTGGTACACACACCACAAGGTTTGTTGGTAGGTAGTATCCCAGTCGAGCACCATCCTGGCACGCCACCTCGATCACCTTCCACACTCACTTTCGAATTTGCCTCGCATTGCGATGACCACCACCGAGTCCACGCTGCCGCCCGCGACGCCCACTGCCGAGTTCGACCAGGTCGTCGACACGCCGGCTCCCAAGAAGTTCTGGACCACCAAGGCCATCGTCGGCGCCGTCGTCTTTTGCGGTCGTCGTCTGCGC